TTTTTTCGAAGAATAATCCCGGGCGTTCGATATCATCAGTGTATGGCTCACATCATGATCCCACGCGAGGAACAGCACGGTCACGTGCTTCAGCACCCCAGGTCAAGTCCTGAAAGTCAATGGAGAGGTCAACAGAGAAAGCCGACAGAGCAAGACCTTGCTGGGCCGTGCGAGATGAGGATGCATGACAGTTCACTCACGTGCAAAAAAGAAGGGGTGCTCCATCACTGGTGGCGTTACATGTGGTACACAAAGAGAGCACTCAACCACTACTACGACTCAAAGTAATGTGATCATCTGACATGCACGAAAGAAGTCGCACATTCATCGGAAACTAAACCCCTGCCATGATCGGGCAAGATGCCCGGCCACACTGTGGACAGCCAGACTGGCCGCTGTTAACGCTGATGCTGACGCTGATCCCGCTTTTCCTGACGTAGCTCTTGCGTGAGCAGAGTCGGCGTCAACACTGAGTTTGTATTGGATGTCAATAACAAATCACTGGCGCGAGACCCTTTTTTGCCGGCTGACCACCGGTTGGCTAGGTGCGACCTTAGGTCCCGCCACTGGTCTGGATGGGTGAAAGAATAGCAGCGCAGTGGTTTCAATGCATGGGCTGCATCCGTATTGCATGGCGAGCTGTAATTTTCAATGCATGGCAAAGCAAAATAAATCGATGAAATTCGTCGATATTGACGGAGGACAACGTACAATAAAGTAACCCATTGCAAGAAAATACTTTGCCTTGCATGAAGTCTTTTATCGTCCAATTGTCTCTCACTGTCTATCGTCGATCGCCTATGTCTTCTGCCGGTCATTTCGTCGTTGAGCGTGAAGTCCCCTTCTCGCCTATATATTCTCCAAAACTGCCGTCGTTCGCTCACACTCGCTCTATATCTCTATATCTTCACCCCCCTATATCCTCACTGCGGTCTTCCACCGCCCCTCCACCTACATCGCTCCCAGGTCTCTCTTCACTCTGACGTCTCCTCCATTTCGCCGTCGGCGGCAGCGCCGGACGGGCTGGGCGCCCATCCGCCACTTACAAGCCGTTCAGGTCCGGTTTCATGACGCAGTCTGGGCCCGCAGGATGAACGACCCAGACCCATGCCCACGGAGCGAGCGGCCACGTGACGTGGTCCTGGGAACTCGCCACAGAGGTCGATCAAATTGATGGAGCGTCCGGCGAAGGCTCGTGCGAGGCGGGGTTCCCACGTCACCTGCGCTACCTGGGGACTAGCTGATCCATGTGCAGAGATTTTTCTGACTCGCGGAATACCGAATGAGCAAATGATAACTACGATGTGTTTGTGAAAAATGTCGCTTTGCCAGCCTGATTTGTGTTTCGAGTAATCACTAGCCAGCCACCAACTGGTTGGTTGTTTTTGCTAGTTAAAGAGAGCATCTCAGCTTTTGGTACTTTTCACTTATTGTTACATCAGACTCGTGCAATTTGGTGAGCAAAACCAGCTCTGTTGAAATCCCTCTGAAAATCTAAATTTTTTCCATTTGAAGTAGCCGACCCGTTGTGAGAAATGTTTGACTCCCTGCTCGCCTACATAAAAATAATTCCTTTCATCTCCCTCGCGTTTTCCAACGTACATGCTCTGTAATGTTTGCAGCACCCTTATGTATCAAAATTTTTGTTTACTAGATGCTAAAAAAGCTTCAAACACTCTGTTTAGACAGAAGTATATACAAACATGAAGGTATTATCCCGCGAATCCAACCAAACGCTGAACCACGCCTGTAATTTTTCACCTAAGGCGTTCACCACAGTGGCTCTTTTCGGGGCGCATTTTGGGGTTGTGAATGGGAGCATCACTTGATTCATTTGACACACTGGTTCAAACCTCAACCTACCAAATTCTCGGTAACAAATTCTCAGTAAGCCCTCGCTCGCTAGGCCAAACACAAACGTCCTTTTATTTGCACCACTAGAGGTGCGTGCGGTTGTCATGACGACGGTGGTCACGACTGCGGAGCAGAAGCGTAGTGCTGCTATACACTATTGATAGCGTACTTTGGACTCGGAGGGGATACAAATTGATATCCTTATTGCGTCTTGTCGGTTCTGCAGTAACACTACCCAGCGTTTCTATTGGACGTAGCGAGTCCCGAGGTTTCATTAGAGCATGTTTTTGTAATATGCCCCAAAAGTAGGGCAATCTCTTTAAGAAAGGCAATTATCCCTCGTAGCAAATGCGCCACCTGACAAGTTGAGTACTTTCCTTGAGGTCCAGCGCTAGCCGCATTTCACATTGCATCTATATTGATGTCATCCATACCGCCTACTCTCCTTTACACGTTTGTTCTGCACCAGTCACGTTCACAGTACACAGTCCGCATAGCACCGCGTCAGCTGAGCCCATTAACCAGCCAGGCTGCGCCAGCACGCCCAGCATGCCGGCCGGCGTCGATCTGCGAGCGGAACAGTGCCGCAAGCCGCGGTCAGTTCGGTTGCGATCTCCCTCTTAGGCGTTGACTTGCAAGAAGCGTGGCAGTGCATCTAAACGGTCAAACCGCGTGGTTTCCGACAATTTCACTGCAGACGAAAGTTCAGCCGGAGTTTTCAGCAGTTTCAGCTGGGGTACTCCGTTTCTACAAAATCTGATCATGTTGAGAGCAGCGCCCAAGTTAACTCTCCCCATATTCAGCACTACAAACCGTTTTCTTAGCAAAGTCCAGAAGATGCTGCCAGCATCCCTGCTGGAGACAGCGTTTCTCAATCTTTTCAACCGTATCCACTATTCGGTACACTCCAGAGGCCATGGTTTACTTGCCTGAAGGTGCTATGTTCGGACAAAGAAGTGAACTTTTAAGGTGTTAAAGCGAGGCCACTTTGTTCTCCACACTGCTTTGGGATGATAGGTTCAAAATGGGTTGACTATTGGGATAATAAACTTGATCTGATATTGACGAGAGGGGATACAATGGTAATGCATCTAAAAATTCCGTCCTTGCACAATCACACTCTCCGTACGCACAATGGGTACACAAATAAGATTCACACGCTTACTTTGCTGTTTTAGAAACACGCAAACGATCACCTATGCTTGACGTTGCCACATTCCCTACTCTCTCCTGCAAGCTGACAACTGTGACACTAGTCAGCCACTGCCACTGCCGCTGGCACTGCCATCAGGGGCGCATGTGCCGTCAGTACAGCTAAACAGCTTATGATCCTACAGGGAAATATATCATCAATAGAAACGCTCTTAAACGCAGATTACCCACAGCTGTCGACAAGGCCGTGGCATCATCCTCGTAACCAAGTAACCCGACTCCGCCTGGCAGAAATCTGGCCCGGTGAAGTCCGTCGACGTGGGGTAGACCGCTTTCTCAACCCAAAAATTCAAACGGCGTCCGAGCTTCATGATCACGAGGGGCGTCTGCAATCCCTCCGTGCCGCTCAACTGAATCCCCCGATGTGAAGGCGACTTACGCGGCCCCCGAGTACGCTCCCTCCGCGCGAGTGCGAGCGGAACGAGCGGCTGGGGTCCACGCCCTGAAGGCTGAAATGCCAATCTGCCGCCGGTTAGTGTAAGAGGTCAGCCGATTCTCGGCGAGCGTCTATCTCGCCGAGCATCGAACGTGTCAGGCGCCTCAATCTCAGACCGCCATTGGATCTACGCGACGATTTCATGGACATCTTGCCTTAATCAAACCCGAAAGACCGTCGGAATGGAGTTTTCAAATGGCACTTGGAGCCCATTTGCCTCAGCTCCTGCAGTAGACTTGCATTGTTCGCCGCTTGGGCACACAATGTCCGCTGCTATGCTCGGACGGCGACGCTAGGCTGCCTTTTGCATTATAGTTTCCGTTACGAGCGTTTCCTTTTTGTGGGCAAATATTTTGCAACACGTTTTAGTGAAGACTTAGATCTTACCTTTCTTCCTCTTTCTTCCACTCTCTGTCTCCTCTTTGCCCTTCGCGTGTCCCTATGCGTCCACTCAATCATGCGTCTTAAGTTTTTCATTCCTTCTATTTGATGTTGCTTTGTAACTTTCTCACTCACATTTTCTTTGACCATGTTCGTAACAAGACCCAAAGCTGGTTTCCCGTGCAGTTCTCTTCTTTTCTGTACAGGTTTGGTGAGTCCCCAATTTTCATGGGTAGTTAAGAGGAAATAGAACAAAGAACGAACGCTTTTATGACGTCATTAGTGTTTCAATGACCGTCTACGAAGGGCCGTGGTCAGACACGAAGAGGACTCAAGGCGACATTAAAACCACGGACGAAACCCTAAATGCATCGGCAAACGATACCGCCTGGACAAATTGAAATAACCCGAGTTGGGCCTCTATCGGAGAGTTAGCAGAGTTCGAAAGGCGTGGAGCACAAGCCATCCAGAGTGGATGGGCTGGACACGGCTCCGCTGCCGATGGTCTTGGCCGGGTGTCACCTGAACCGACCTCGCTCCTGATCATTTATTTAGCGGCCGCTTGGCTGCAGCGACAGACGCTGCTTCACCGACGCCAGAAGCGTCAGCCAATGTCGTAAAATCGTCCGATATGGCCGCGGCCATTACGTATTCCCTTTGTTGCAGATTCGAGGTGGCCCGTAAAGCCGAGGGAACGTGAGCAATCGCCGCAGCGGCGTCTCCTGCCACTCTGACGTCCGATGGCGCTGCTCGGCCGGCGAGCAGCGCCGCCGCGCCGCCCGCCCGCCCCGCTGTCTGACCGCTGCCCCGACGCAGTACCGGCGGCCTTGTTATCGGCGGCAGCGACGACGGCGGCGACGCGGCGCGTGTGCTCGCTCTGAGCGGCGTGATGGCCGGACTGGGCGCCGCCGGCCGGCTGCTGGCGGCGGCGCTCTGCGTGCTGGCCGGCGGCCGGGCCGACAATGCCACCGACTGCGAGTGGAGCGAGACGACCGCGGCCGTGACCTGCCGCTGGCGGCTCATCGGCGCCGACTCGACGGTCGTCGGCGGCGACGGGCACCCGCTGGCTGGCCGCGTGTCCGCCGTGGAGGTGCGCTGCAGCGGGCGGCACTTCTTCCGCAGCCGGCTGGGCGCCGCCACGTTCGCCGGCCTCGAGCAGGCGCGCCGGCTGCGGCTCGACGACTGTAAGCTGGACGAGCTGACGCCGGCCGCGCTGGCGCCGCTGGTCGCGCTGCGCGAGCTCACCGTCCGCACCGGCAACGCCGATTGGGGCGCGCGCCGGCTGCGAATTCCGTCGCACGCGTTCGCCAAGTTGCGCCACTTACGTAAATTGGAGCTCAGCCACAACGGCATACAAAAACTGGGTTCGGACGTGCTGTGCGGTGCGCCAAGCCTGCACCGACTCAGTCTGGCGCACAACGCGCTGGCGGTCTGCCACGTTGGGCTGGACGGCTGCGCCAGCAAGCTGCACCACCTGGACCTGTCGCACAACCGTCTGGGCGACGTGCCAGGAGACTGCCTGGCCGGGCTGCGCCAGCTGCGCTCGCTGCGACTCGGGCACAACCGGATCCGTGCCATCGGCGCCCGCTCGTTCGCCGCGCTCTCGCACCTGCGCGCGCTCTCGGTCGAGTCGAGCGGCCTCCATCACGTGGCGGCGGAGGCATTCGCCGCCAACGGCGAGCTGCGCAGCCTCGAGCTGCAGGGCAACGCGTTGGAGCGGCTGCCCGCGGCGGCGCTGCGCGAGCTGCGCCACCTGACGCTGCTCAACCTGTCGCGCAACACGCTGGGCCGCGGCGGCGACGGCAGGCTGGCCGTGCGCGGCCCGCTGCGGCTGACCGTACTGGACGTGTCGCACAACGCGCTGACGGCGCCGCCGCAGCTCGGCGACCTGTTCAGCCTGCAGGCGCTCAACCTCTCGCACAACCGCATCGCGGCCGTCAGCGGCGTGCAGTTCGCGGCGCTCGTCAACCTGGGCACGCTCGACCTGAAGGCCAACCGGCTGCGCCACCTGCCGCCGCTGACGATGCGCGGCCTCACGCACCTGCAGCTGTCGCGCAACCGGCTCGAGTCGGTGGCGGCGGTGGCGCTGGCCGGCTGCCCGGCCCTGCGCAGCCTCAACCTGTCGGATAACCGGCTGCCGGTCGTGCCCGGCGCCGTCCACCAGCTGCAGTACCTGGAGGAGCTGGACCTGGCTGGCAACCGGCTGCGGAACGTGACGTCACGGCGCGCCGGGAGCGGCGCCGGCCTGGCCAGCCTACGGCGGCTCGACCTCTCGCGCAACGGCATCACCAACATCGGCGCCAGTGACCTGCTGCCGCTGTGGAGCGTGCATTGGCTCGATCTCAGCGACAACAACATCTCCAGCGTGGCGGTCGGCACGTTTCAAAAGCTGAGCGCGATCGCGATGCTGCGGCTCGCGCGGAACCAGGTGGCCGAGATCGGCGAACTGTTTATGGCGGTGAAGACGCTGCGCCGGCTCGACTTGTCGCACAACAAAATATCTCGTTTTGACTTGGCGATGATCCCCCGGCAGCTGCGGGTTTTGGACCTGGGCTTCAACAACATCTCGAAGCTTGATAACCAATTCGACGTTGAAAACATCATCGATCTGGAGGTTCTGAATCTCACAAATAACGCAATAAGAAACTTGACGGCCGGCGCCGTGCCGAGCCGGCTTCTGGAGCTGATCGCCAGTCACAACAACATCTCCTACGTCGCCAGCGACGCTTTCGTCAACAGAACCGGCCTGGCGCTCATCGACCTGCGGTCCAACCGGCTTCGCTCCCTCAACGACTTCTCGCTGAAGAACCGCACCCTGCTGCTGGGCGGAAACCACGTCCTCTGTGACTGCACGATGGAGTGGCTGCTAACCGGCTCGACGCTCATCGCTGACCAGCACGACATCCTCTGCGACGTGCTTGACGGGCGGCGCGGGGCGCGGACGGCACTCTCCGCCATGACGCCGTCCATGTTCCTGTGCCGCTACGAGACGCACTGCTTCGCGCTCTGCCTGTGCTGCGAGTTCGACGCGTGCGACTGCGAGATGGCCTGCCCGCAGGGCTGCTCGTGCCTCCACGACCTACTGTGGAACATCAACACGGTGGACTGCTCGCACCAGAACCACTCGCGCATCCCGCAGCCGATGCCGATGGACGCCACGGACGTGTTCCTCGACGGGAACGCGATCGTCTCGCTCGGGAACCACGTGCTCATCGGACGGAAATACATGAGGCGGCTGTACCTGAATAATTCCGACATTGACGCGGTCGACAATAAAACATTCAACGGCCTCTCGGGCCTGCACGAGCTGCACTTGCAGCACAACCGGATACACACGCTCGTCGGCTACGAGTTCGAGGACCTGGCCAGCCTGCAGCGGCTCTACCTCCACCGCAACCGCATCGCCTGGGTGAACGCCAGCGTGTTCGAGCCGCTGCTGCTTCTGCGCGAGCTCACGCTGCACGCCAACCGGCTCTCCGAGTTCGAGCAGTGGCCGTTCGCACACAACCCGGGGCTCACGCTGCTCACGCTGGCCGAGAACCGCTGGAGCTGCCGCTGCGAGCCTCTGCGCCGGCTCCGTCGCTGGCTGCTGGCCAACGTGAAGCGTGTGGCCGACGCCAGCCGCGTGGCGTGCGGAGAGGCGCTGGCCAGCGGCGCCGGCGCGTCGCTGCTCGCGGCCGGTCAGCGCGACTGCCGGCGCCCGCCGGCGGCAGTCGTCGCCAGTCGCGCGGACGTGTACGTGTCGCTGTCGCTGTTCGTCGTGCTGTCCGCCAGCGTGTTGGTGGCCCTGACGGTGGCGGCGTTCGCGTTTCGCCGCCAGATCCGGCTGTTCCTCTTCACCGAGCTAAACGTGCGGCTGGGCGAAGCCGACGACGGCGAGGGCAGCCTGTTCGACGTGTTCGTCAGCTACGGCTCCAAGGACGCGCAGCTGGCCGGCAGGCTGGTGGCCGAGCTGGAGACGGGCCACCCGGCCTTCCGCTGCTGTGTGCTGCACCGCGACGTGCCGCCGCAGCCGGACGCCATCCGGCGCGCGGCCGCCGCCAGCCGGCGCGTGCTGCTGATCGTCACGCAAAACTTCCTCGACAACGAGTGGTGTCACTTTGACTTCAAGTCGGCGCACACGGACGCGGCGGTCAGCGGCCGCCGCCGGCTGGTGCTCGTCTGCGACGGCCGGCTGCCGGACGCCGAAACCGACCCCGAGATGGCGCTGCTGCTGCGGGCACACCCGGTGGTGCGCTGCGGCCAGAAGCGGTTCTGGCGGACGCTGCGCTTCCGGCTGCCGCGGCCGCGCGCCGGCGCTCCGGCGGCGCCGCCCTGGTGGCGCCGGTGCCGGCTGCCGCGTCGCGCCGCCGCCGGCGCCGGCCGACTGTCCCGCTCCAGCAGCGCGTCCGATCTCTGCGGGCCGGCCGAGCGGACCGGCTCGGCTGAGAAGAGCTCGCTCGTCGGCGTCAAAACGCCCGTTGCTAGCGACGTGCCCGGCCTCTTCGTGGAGACGCACGACAGCTCGCGCGTGTACTACACCATAGATTTCCAGGGCGGCCACACCGGCCCGGCGGCCAGCCCCTCCGGCGCGCGCCACGCCACGCTGCACACCTACCAGAACAGCGACGAGCTGGCGGCGGCGGCCGGCGCCGGGGGCCGCGGTGCGGCCACCTCGCTGGCGCGGGCGGCGCGCCCGGGCGGGCCGCTCGTGTGGTTCGACCGACCGACCGCCGGCCAGCCGACGCCGACCTCGGCGTACTCCGCGGCAGAGTCGCCCTCAGTGGACGGCCGCGAGGCGCCCGGCTACCTGCCCGCCAGCTGGGTGTTCTACTCGGTGCGGCGGGGCGCGGCCCCGCCCGGCGAGCAGCACGCGGGCCAGACGTACCTTGTGTAGGTCAGCGTTAGAGTAGCCGCTCGGTGCGCGCGACGTGCAGTGTTTACCGCAGGTCGTCGAGGCCGCTGTATGATACGGACTCGGAGGCCAAGTCCTGGTTGCGTCCAAGTATTGTTCCGCTGATGCATAATGATCTCAAGGTGATCTCATTGATATGAACTATCCATAGTTGCGATTTTCAGTTTCGTAATAGAGAATACATTTTTAAGGTATGATGTATGGAGTGTGTTTCTTGAATGTCATACACACGTCCTGAATCTACAGAAGCAGCTGCGCACTCGGACATCACAGTTGTAAGAATACGGTCAAAATAAGCTACTATGTTTGCAGACACGTATGTGCGCTTCTACGGAAGGGGAAATATACCCATTACATTTTCCAGCGATTAACAACGCGCAAAACTATGCCTGCTGAGAAATGGAAGCTGACGTTTGGCGTCCTGAACGCCTCTTTTGGCTACTTACTAGTCTATTCTTGCTCCTGATTAGAAATATAAGTCTTGTTTATATATTTCAGACTCATCAAGGTTTTCATAGATTAATTAACACTCCTTCCCTAGCGATACTTTGAGTTTTATGGCACCAACGTCGAGTTTATCAGCACACGGACGAGACCACGTTCGGATGTTCATGGCCGACGCGACTCTCGACTCAGCGGCGGGTCCCCTTTCGCACCAGAGAGGATTGCGTTGCCAGAGAGCGGCTTATGCTGCGGATTTGTTTGGTACAAGGAGCACTCCTCGTCGCCTGCAGCTCAGGGTTAAGAGACCATCTCACTCTCCGTCGCTAGAACTGATGCCTAGCTTCTGAGCTGAGGATTCCACGCGGAAAGCTTACATGATGGGGACCTTAGTGCTCGAGTCGTTTTGCTCGCGCTCAGTGTAGAAACTGCCTGTATTCGGAAATGCTCTGGATGATATCTTTTCTCATGCGTCAGTTTGATTTATAAAAATACAAATATAGCCAAAAAAGTGCTTTCATTGTGTTTCCTAGATTTCCCATATATTACACTTGACGCACACGTAATAACAGCGGACAATGTGGTTAACAATATTTCATGATGAAATACTCCCAAATCATTGAAATCCGATTATGTGTGGGATCCATGTACTTTTAATGGTTGCCTCCTGCAGCAGTTCGTACCGAGTTCTAGAACGAGAAGATCCAAAACTTGCGTAGTTTACTCTGCTCTTGGTTCAGGAGATGTTCACCTTTCCTGAAGATTCAAACGTATGTTGATATCTTGTAAATAGACACCATTGCGAATAGCGCATTTCACAAAACAAGTTTCTAGAATCCGGCCTAATCCGGTCCAGCCCTCCAAAATCTAATCCACCCGCCAATCTGGCTTTAAAATTTCTGAATCCGATTGGCTGAATCCGACTCGGCAAAACTTTGCCAAAAAATATATCTGCATCAACCCGCATTTAAGTGTTTTTATTCAATCGTCTGGAGAAGATAAAGTGGCAAATACCAACCCATTTTGATGTTTTCTTTTCGCAAGATATGTTTTGATACTCTGGCTGGCTGAAAAAACAACTTGGGAAATTTGAAAAAAGTCTGAATGGTTGCAAGAATCAGCTGCTGCCAGTAAATAGATGTCATTTTTAACCTGGCTTGAATGGAACTTCATCTTAGCATACATTTGGGATACGTGCCTGACGTTCTGAACCATGCTTTCACTGTAAGAGCTTAAGCTCTCAACAACCATACAGGCTCAGTGTAAGGAGAAAGCGATTTTGTGAAACAATGGACTAACACCAAAACATATAGCAATGGTTTGCATTATATCATTCTTAATTAAGCTACAGCTGACCGTCCCAAGGTATCTGTGGCAATGCTTTATATGATAACATTCTAAGAACTGTAATACAAATAACATGTCCAAGCTCTTAAGTGTCCTTTAAATATTGCATGAATTTACGGAACTGGCAATTCTGGGGGCATGCGCGCACAAACAATGTGTAAATGATGCCTTGCTTCCGCCTAGGCAATGCCATTGAGGTCCTGCAAATTCCTCACACATGGGAACTGGAGGCATTTGCGTCCCCCTCCCCACTGTCGCTACAACGGACTAGATATGGAAAGCGCAGTGCTTCCCAGATCCAGATCCACACAGCAGCCTGATCCGTACAGCAGTCCTTCCTTAACACACAGCGGTCCTTAGCACAAATGAGAGAACACGGGTACCTCACCTCATGTAGGATCCCTAGGCCGCTCAGGCGTGCTACAAGCTGTTTTCTTTCTCGATCATCCCAACAAAATAAACGGCCGAAATCGAGCTTCCTGCCCCTGCTAGCCAAACACCTGAATTCTGAATAATAACGCCAGCATGACACATGACCTTAGCGGCGTCTTTCAACCGTTGAATCACTTGATCATGACCGCATGAAAACACGCCACGAGCGAGGTGCGAACAATTCATAACTATACTGCCTCTCCCGCTCTTGGTGGATTGCGGAGCAAGCACCGGCACCAAGTCACCAGCAGTTCAAATGAGTCAAATCAAGTCACCAGATGCGTCAAACCATGGCCGGCTCTCGAACTTGCACATGGCCAAGCAATGATAGTGGGGATCACAGGGGGGGGGGGGGGGGGGCATGCAAAAGTGTCAGTCGCATACTTTTGAGCTTAAAAACGAGCGCGATGGACCAGACACAGGTGGCATTCCACCCTGGCGTAGAAATCAACACCCTACAAGAATGGAAATTATAGCCTGAGTAAATCTTGATCATCTGTCTTTGTTTGCAAACTTGCGAAACGCAAACAAAACAGCAAGTTGTAAGACATCACATGATTTTCTGACACGCTTCCTCAGTGGAGCAATGGTGTAGCCAGACATTACAAGGTAATGCATTATACATTTATCTAAATAGCCTGAGCGCGCAAATGGCAGCACAAAATGAAAAACTTGTATAATAGGAAGTACAGAATATAAAAAGCTAAGACACAGAACGTAAATCACCTTTCTACCATATCACCGCATATCTAGTGCTGATCCAAACACAACTAACTAGTTTCCGTGTGCTGTATTGGAAGCAATGCAATGCGCATCAAATAGGCTATCGATGCATCACCATTGCGTTCTAGATGTTGTCATCTACCAGAGGCCAGAGATGTGCGCATTTATCACCGAAAATCTTTGCTGGCGTGGCCTCTGATTCATTTATTAAATGTAACGCTGTGCATTAGAAGTGCAACAAGAGGTGGAAAAAGTCACACACTCGTGTATCTTTATATCATCTATTTCAGCAAAACTGAACACAAAATCCGACAATGTTAGGACTCTTCACCGCAGCACGATGATGGCATGCCAGCCACGATAGCGGCAGGCAGGCACGCGTGGCATGCGCGGGATAATTGCAAGGCCTTATAAGAGAACTAATGTAATGTTCTGCGGCGATAGAAGATATTTCGTAACTGGCTTAAATATATCTAGAAGCAAAAACAATGCTTACGACCATGGCTGGCTTTGGCACCCACTAAGGGAAGAAACTGGGAGGGGGAACGATTAAAAGGCAAAGAACCACGAAGCGGTCGGAATACTTGGAGATCGAAACAAGGTAACTGGTAAATATAATTGTATTGCTTCCGTGTACACCAGGGGATACTCATTCAGACCACATCGCTGCAGATTGACCTCCTGAGCATGAAGCAGTAATCCACTCCAGGTATCGCAAAAGATGAAGCGACTCGTTGTCACAGTTAATATTTAGTTTTTGTGAAAAGAAGATATCGGCACTGCATACCAATACTAAATCAATAAGCCTCGTCAAAGGGTCTGATACCGTCACATTTTGTTCCTAGCTGAACATGGGGAAGGTTGCAACGTATGCTCCTGACTCATTTGTCGGCAAACATGATCCCACAAAATTTCAGTCCTGACAGGCGCACAACGGGAAGAGAACATCGCATGATGGTACTCGCATTTTGACAGCGTTTTAGTCCACTGCATTAGAGCGTAGGAAACAGCTCATATGTGGTAATTGTTCCAGTGTCATGATGTGCTGGAGCTGGAAAATTGGTCTTTAGGATAAAAAAATTAAGTTGGAAGGCCTCATGTTTGCAAGGCCTAATTTTTTCACCCGCGCTTGAATAGGTTTTTTCCAAAATAATTTCCCAGCGGCGCGGTGTGGCACTGCCGAGCTTTGTATTTATGTAGGAAGTTCAATAAAAACTTGTTTGTATAAGCTACAGGATGTACCTTGTAAGGATACGCACACTACGGCGGATCAAAGTAGGCCGGGGCTGTCAGCGAAAACCATGTCTGGGACGTCCTTTAACCTGATGGGACAGAGAAGTGTTAGGCGAAGCCATACATCTATGAAATAGTTTCATAAACAATAAACCAATTAGATTTATGATAAAAGAATGCATTGACTTAGCGCTAGGTATGAAGGTCAGGCCGAGGTCAAATCTAACATATTTTTTGCCCGGGGGCTTGCTTTAAGAGGTGTGTTCTGGTGCTCATCTCGGATTTATTGATGACGGGAAATGTAGCAGACATATTCCATGGACTTTTTGAAGTTGGAGCATGCCACTGACCAGAAATGACTCAGGTCAACGTTTTGTTTTCAGGACCATATCACCAAGCGTAGTCCTTGACGCTTATTTGAATGAAAAATAGGAGCAATCTCGTAAGTTTTTGGTCACATCGACAATCTTAAGCTCAAACAAGGTTATTGACCTTAACTGAACACCATTGACCTTCTTAGAACAAGTAATTTGGTTCACGGCGTTTGTATGAGAAAGCCTGGAGGCTCTCTGAACACCGATACAGAGCTTGACCTTATTTGCCCATATTTGACCTCAACGTCATGACCTACGAACCTGAAATTTTGACACAAGTGACTTCACATACAGGCTAGCCCATGCTGTGAATTTAGTTTTTCTAGTTATCTAATTTTGAGATCTTAAAGGGATCATATTGACCCCACCCGAACGATGGGTATTCAACCAGCCACCCGGACGCGTGTTAGCGCAGTGCTCAGTCGCAAGCGT